GCACTCCTGGCTACAGTTGCACTGTTAGCCTCTGGTGACCTGCAGCTGAACTCCTCCCTCGCATTGCTCTCCATGAGCCTTGCTCAAGGTTACACGTCCTCTCTGGGCTGCCTGCAGTCGATGACTGGCTGACATGAGAGTGTAAAGGGTTCAGACCCTTTGCCTAGATTTTTGTCAACTCTGAGCACTATTTCCTCTTCCGAGTTGCCATGGGGTCAGCTAATACTTCAGCTGCAATTGCAATTGCATCACAGTTAGCATTCTCTCTCTTTCCGATCGGGTTTATTTCACGCCCTTAGGGGTGTTATAATTCAGAGTTGTTGTTAGGTGCTCTGAGTCGGTTCCGACTTAAAGTGACCCTATGTACAACAGAGGGAAACATTGCCCAGTCCTGCGCCATCCTCACATTTAACAAAAGTGAGCCCATTGTTGCCGCCACTGTGTCAATCCATCTTGTTGAGGGTCTTCCCCTTTTTCACTGACCCGCTACTTTACCAAGCATGATGTCCTTCTCCAGGGACTGGTCCCTCCTGACAACATGTCCAAAGTACATGAGAAGAAGTCTCGCCATCCTCACTTCTAAGGAGCATTCTGGCTGTACTTCTTCCAGGACGGTTTTGTTTGTTCTTCTGGAAGTCCACGGTATATTCAATATTCTTCACCAACACCATAATTCAAAGGTGTCAATTGTTCTTTGGTCTTCCTTATTCATTGTCCAGCTTTCACACACACGAAGTGACGGAAGATATCACGGCTTGGCCAGGCGCATCTTAGTCCTCTCTGAGAAAATTTCTGGACAGGTAATTTTAATATTTTCAGCCTTCTTTTATCCTAGGTCAGAGCCCTGGTGGCACAGTGGTTAAGAGCTATGGCATGCTACAGCTGCTAACCAAAAGTTCGGCAGTTTGAATCCACCAGCTGCTCCTTGGAAACCCTATGGGGCAGTTCTACTCTGTCCTATAGGGTCACTGTGAGTCAGAATCGACTCGATCACGATGAGTTTGATTTTGGTTTTGTTTTTGTTTTTTTTTATCCTAGGTCAGTTCCCTAGGAAATGGGCTCTGGGATGCAGAGTTACCTATAGGGGATTGTGGAAGAGCCCTCTCATAATTCATAGGACTCTCTCCCAACCTTCTATATGTAAAATTTCTCTAGTAGATCAGAGGACTCTCCTACCATCCCCTGTATGTAAAATTACTCTAGTAATTCAGAGGACTCTCCAAGAAAATCCTCTATATGTAAATCTCCATCCCAGAGCCGATTTCCTGGGGAATTGATGTAGGAGAACCCCCCCCCCCGCCCCAAAAGAAAGCAAAAACTGAATCTGTTGCCTGAGTCGATTCCGACTCATAGTGACCCTATAGGTCAGAGTAGAACTGCCCATAGGGTTTCCAAGGAGTGCCTGGTGGATTCAAAGTGCCGACCTTTTGGTCAGCAGCCTGAGCTCTTAAGCACTGTGCCACCAGGGCTCCAGTAGAGTAAAAGGGGACTGAAATTATTAAAACTACCTGCCCAGAAATTCTTTCAGGGAACCGGAAAAGTTCGCTCCTGGAGAAACCCAGTGCCTCCTGCCCAGCGCATACAAAGGATGGTTGGTAAACTCGTGGTGGAAAAAGTCACATGACAGACTCAGCTTCTCCCTTGAGCAGGAAGCTGGACCAAAGCTCCAGGGTTTTTGAGAGTTAAAAAGGGCTAACAACCACCCGTGGAGTCCCTGGGTGGTGCAAAGAGTTAGCCTGCTTGGCTGCTAACTAAAAGCTGGCGGTTTGAGCCCAACCAGAGGCACCTAGTAAGAAAGGCTTGGCAATGGACTTCTGAAAAAAATCAGCCATTGAAAACCCTGTGGAGCACAGTTTTACTTTGACACAAGTGGGGTTGCCTTGAGTCGGAATCCATGACAACTGGTGGTAACAATCACCTGATGTAATAAGTAACTAATGATCAATTGATTGTCATGCTTTGTCATTTTAATACAGATTTATGCGTGTATAGGAAAACTTATGCGCTTCAAAGCCCTTTTTGTTACTTGAGATTCAGTTGTAAGCCTGGCTGCTTGGACTATGAAGTCATAAATTATTCTCTGTTCAACTAGTTATCATTTACCTAATCTAAGTCATAGATCCAAGGAGGGAATTTTATTATAATTTCTAGTCTTGCTAATTCAAATCCACAAGGTAACAGCTTCAAAATGCCTATAGCATTAATTAAACTCCCTTGCCAGGCTCTTTGCAACACGGTTCCATCCTTGTCAGCCTCCCTACTCTCTCTCAACAACAAAATCCTGTCTCCCTTCCTGTCATACATCTTAATGTGCATTCCACCAGCTTCCTCTCCACTTACCAAGATGCTACCCAACTTTGAAGGGTCTGGTCCTCCAACACTGAGCCTTCCCTGTCCAGGTCCATCTTTGATAGTCGCTTCCTATCCTAACTCTTGTTGCCCCCTTTCCTGTAACCTTATCTCACATCCTTTTGTACCTCAAGGTATTTAACATTTGTAGATGCTCAGAGAATACTATTTTTGAACAGTTTTATTGATGTGTAGTATAAAAGCCAAAAACAAATCCATTGCTGTCAAGTCGATTCTGACTGATAGCGACCTTATAGGACAGAGTAGAACTGCCCCATAGGGTTTCCAAGGAGCGGTTGGTGGATTTCAACTGCTGACTTTTTTGGTTAGCAGCCAGCCTCTTAACCACCACGTCACCAGGGCTCCATAAAATTCACCCAATTTAAGTGTACAATTCAATGGTTTTCAGTGACTTTACACAGTTGTGCAATCACCATGATTTTACAGCATTCTCATCACCCCAAAAAAATCCCTGTGCCCACCTGCACTCACTCCCCATTCCCTCCCCAGTCCCAGACAAGCACCAATCCACCTTATGTCTGTACATTTCAAGAAATACTTTCTAAGTTCTTGATTTGGAGTTTCCTTACATTTTCCTAACCGTCCCCATCACGTTCTATTGAATCTCTTTCATTAATAATCTAGGGTAGGCATTTGAATAACCAGGCAATGTTAAATAAATGATATTGAATACCCCCTTCCTAACTAAGCAAAATGATTGCTTTATTAAATCTAAAAGGTAGCATTCAGGTAAAATCTGAATATCTAGATCTATTTTAAACTCAATGTCTTTGATCCCACTCGGCTTTGTTTTGCAAAGTGAAAAGCAGGAAGAAGAAGCTGGAGAAAACTGATCGCATGATGGTACCTGAGAGTATTCGAGCAAGTCAGTTCACTTGTGGAAATTAAATGAAAGGTCAGACAAACATCCTTTTCTGCACTCCCCTTGTCTGGAACCCCAGAGAGAAGGACCTCTCCTGAGAACAATTATAAAGGGCAGCCCGCAGAAGTTCAGGATGTTGCTTCCTGGGTGGGTCAAATACAAGTCAAGGCTTACACCTTTTATTAGTTTTACTTATATTTGGTTAAATGGGTCATTCCTTGTCAATCCTAATCTCTTAAATATTATACAACTTTCTAAAAATAATTTTTTAATTTTTTATTATTTTTATTTTATTTTATTTGAACTCAATTCAAGTTGTGGCTATTTGTTCAGCTCTCTGATAAGCAGCTTTCTCATAAGCAAGTAAACAAGGAAGGAAAACACAATTATTTTCCGACCTGCTTTTCACGGATGGATGATATATTGATGAATTCATGTTAATACTTTATTTAGAAATATTTTAATGAAGAGTTGAGAATATTGATAGATAGCATGCAAAGCACATCAAGAAAAGAAATAGTTGTGATTTTTATTTTACGATGCCAGCATAAGACAGGATCATTTCAGAGTTAGAAAACCCATTTTAGCAGAGATGCTGTAAAACAAGCGTGTCAGGTGAGTGCCTTTTGTAGCATGAAGCTGAAAAGCAGTCAGTCCTAAGACGGTCACATTACTGGGAAACTGTAGAGTCTTTCAGAACCAGCCCCACAATGGAATTACTTTTTTCAGCATTATGTGAATTTAGTCCTGAGACTACTGAACTATTCCCATCAAAGTTCCCAAATGTGATTTCTCAAATGTGCCCTAAATTCAGTAGACAAATGAACACTTCCCATACAGAAATTAACCCAGCATTACCCTTTCACTCCCTCTTGTATTTGAACACCAGAAGTACAACTATTTTAAAAAGTTATTCGTGTCTATTTTCAATAATTAGGCTGTTTTTTATTGTAAACCAAAAATGAAACTTAGCATAATAGTCTTTCTAGAGAAAGGTTAGCTTGCGGCACAGTAAATCTGCACTGTGAATTTCTTATACCATGATCATCATCACAGAAGATCAGAAGATTGTTCATCATCAGAATTGTAAAGATCGGGAGTGAAGGAATCCCAGGGAGACTGGGTGATCTGGCCAAGGTCATCTCCTGAGTCCGTGACAAGGGAGGACAACTCTTTGTGGCCACAAAGTCAATCTGCTGATGAACCTTTGGGAAACACGCTTTTCTGCAATACTTTCAAGAAAGAGAATTGTTTCTTCTAACAATTCCTGTAGCAGAAACCCAACTATCAAGAAAATGTATTTATTAAAATGTTTATTTAATTAAGTAATGAAAATTCATTATAAATGTTCTCTGTCTTTGGATGTGTGTATTAAAATGGTACTTTAGCATTTAACAAAATTCATCTTGGAATAGGCACCACCAGAGAAAAAGCTTTTCAACTGAAAAAAAACACTGCAATTAAAAATTTCAAGTAGTAGAATATATTTTACTCTCTTTTAATTTAAATAACATTATACGTATTAAAAGAATTATCCTCCATTTTACTAGGAGTGCATCCCCAAAATTAAAGACAATTGCATAAATCCTCACACAACTCTCACTTTTCTTTAAATGAGAAATATTTTAAAACTTTCTTAAATTGTCATAGGCCACGGTGACCAACTGTGTATTCAGTAGTACAAATGTTCTTATATGATTACATGTTTATTTTGGGTAAATTAAGTCAATTAGCAAAAGAGGCCTGAAATAGGAAGACAGGTTTCAACAGAAGAGAGAGAATTATGATATGGTACTACCACGGATAAATATGAGTAAGTAGAGTTACATTATCTTCAAGTAAAACTCTAATTTACCATGGAACTTTTTATACTTGGAAAGTTACTCCTTTGTAACTTAATCTTTAAATAAATTTAATGTACTGAATTTCTGGATCCAAGTGCTACTTGCAATTTATGACGATACGCACTTAGCCGTTCTTTCTGAACTGGCCAGTTCAAGATGCATCGGGATTTAAACATTCCTCTTCGCAAACAAAGTGCATGGTTCAGTTTATAATCTGGAATCTCCTCAAGAAAGATCAATATAATGGAATCCAGGTTTTGTTCAATAGCTTGCTGAACTGCGTGGTGCACTTTGAATCTAAGTAAAAAAAGAAAATATTGAATTAAGTTAAATAAGCAATGCACAATTTTTAACAGCCAAAACTCTAAAATCTGAAATTCTCCTTAGAATTTACTTGAATCCGTCCCTTTAATTTTTTCTTAATTTTATTTTAATATAATAATAGTAGCAATAATTTAAAGTTTATTTGAAAAACAAACATGCATTTAAAATTTCACAATGTTCACCCACCTTTTGCATAATGGATCTTTCAATAGATGCTGTGTTATAACAAAAATAATTTTTCTGCTTCTTTTGATGCTGTTGACAATTGCTTCAAGTTCAAGGGTACCTGCCTCAAAATCCCTTTCTTCCAGACAAAATTTGAGAGATTGATCTTTTTCTTCCATGAGGGAGAAGTTTTGCCAGACCCAATCTCTATCTTTATGGGCATGAATTACATATGCTGCAAATTCAAACTGCTCTGGCTGTCTGTCTATCTCTTTGAAACCAAGAATTCGATGTACTGAAACATTCCAATAAAACGATATCCTCCAGCCTTCAAAGTGGACGAGCAGTACAATGAAGATAAAAAACAACAGGGTACTCGTGTTGATTACGAACAGGAGTTCAAAAGGGGCACTGTCTTTGCAGGCTGATATGTCAAAGAATGTCACTGACAAACCATGATACTGGGGTGGAGTGTTGCAGAAATAATCGTCTGGTAGACCGGAGATGTTGGCACGGGTTCCGTTAATCCAGTTAACAAACCAGGCAATACTTTCACAGGTACAGTCAAACGGATTAAAGCGCATATCTAAATTAGTCAAATTCTTGAAAGGTGGTCCGAAAACATCCTTCTCAACTGATGTTATAAGATTCTTCTGAAGGTTCAATGACTTCAGAGAGGTCTGACTATCAAACAGAGATGGTGGAAGTATGTTTAAATTATTCAATCCTAAATCAATGCTCTTTAATGCAGACAAGTCCTTGAAGACCTCCTCTGGGATCTCGTCAAAGCCGTTAGACTCTAAGTTAAGTATGTGGAGGTGAGAAAGACCCTTTAAGAAATGAACAGGACCACCAGGGTTGGCGTGCTTCCAGAGCCGTGCTAAGTTGTTGTGCTGCAAATCCAGAATTTCTAGTTTGTCAAGTCCCTCGAACGTGTCCTCCTTTATGTTGGCTATATTGTTGTTACTGAGATCCAGAACGGTCAAGTTACGAAGAGGGCAGAAAGGTGACGGGGAGATATCCACACTTTTACAGGCCACTCTTCGGAGCATCAGTCCTTGAAGGCTTGGAACCAAGGCAAAGGAATTGCTAGTCAATTGTAGGTCTTTGTTATAGGAAAGGTAGATTTTAACAATATTTTCTAGACCTTTCCATTCCTGGCCTGTGAGTTCTTGCCCAATTTCATTCAGGCCAAGGTCCAGTACCTCCAGGTGGTGCAACCAAGAGAAAGCACCGCTGTCTATTTTTGAGATTTTATTTCTGGTTAGGTTGAGTACGAGTAAAGGAGAACGCGCAAGTGATAAAAATGTTTCATTTGTTAAAGTTCGCAAACTCGTAAAGGAGCTGGAGAGACTTAAGTATTGCAGACGTATCAATCCTGTGAACGTATTGCTTTTTATGCCTGGAAAATCGTTATCTTCCATGTTAAGGTACTCCAAACATTTTAGCCACTGAAAGGAAAAGTCATCAATCTTGGGAAGTGAAGCAAGGGAATTACTTTGTTTCGTAAAAGATCGTTTTAAATTCAGGTATCTCACACTGAACAGCCCATAAAAGCAGCGAGAAGACAAATGCTCTATATTATTATACTCCAGGGTGAAATATTCCAAACGTGGAAGCCAGGCAAAGGAATCGTTAGCGATCATACTTAAACTGTTATGGGAAAGATCGAGCTTGGTGAGATTTGTCTGCTTCAGTCCAAAAAATGTCATATTGCTCGTTCTGTAGAGCTGGATGTTGCTCAGATATAGGCTCTGAATGCTGGAGTTTGATAATTCCAAACAAAGCTTCTCCGTGAGACCGGGGCCCAGCTGGACGTTGCTCAGAAAAAGGCCGTATAATTTTCCGATTGCATGAAAACACCCTGGAGAGAACTGACGGCGAAAAACAAAGAAGGTTAATAACCAAAACGTTCAAGCCTACGTATAACCCTTGCAAAGCTTAAACACAATTCCTTACCGAGTTATCTGGGCCCTCCGCATTTCTCCCCGGTCCTCTAATGCATAACTCCTTCCGGACTCTGTAGCACCTCCCCTGAGTCCCTACGTTCCCTAGCCACAGGCTAACTTTTACTCAGCATTCACCTTTCAGTTTAAATGTCGCTTCTTCAGGAGCCTTTCTGTGAAACTACCAGTGTATGTTAAGTCTCCTGGTGCTTTTTATTTCATCACATTGAGCACAATTACAGTGAATCATCCGTTTGGGAAACCACCACTGGGGCAGATACTGCTTCCGTCTTGGTCACCACTGTGCTCAGGGAACATCGTGGAAGGGACGGATGGGTGGTTTTACTATAAAACAGTGGTGCCTACCTTCCCTTCTGTAACTCTTTGAGGTTTCAGCTATCTTTTTGCTCTTCTATGAAGTTTTCTCTTGACTTTATTTAATTATGGTTTTACAGCATCCTTCCACTCTGCCCCCACTCTTATACCAGAAGCTTTGTGCTACAGCAAGAACGCAGAAGGCAGGAGAAGGAACCCAGAGAGAAGAGGGCAGAGTAGCCAATGTCTGGCAATAAAACCCATCAGGGGAGCATAAGGGCTCCAATTTCTAGTGTGTCACCTGTCCGATATTAGGGCTAACAGAAGAAAAGAGAAGAATAGAAAAGTGTGTTTATTATAAATAAAATGAATTACAATGTAAGGCAATAAATTATTACATTAATGATGATAAATCTACACGGTAGACATTTTGCAGCTGCTAAAATTTAGTTGTTGAATAAATCTTAATGACACAGGAGATGCTCATAACATGACATTAATTCTGAAAAGCAGGATGCACCATCCTCCTCAGAGAGGCTCACATTGCCAAAATCCCACCTCTGTCACCAGCTGGCCACCTGTGAGACCTTGGATAAATCACCTAATCCTTCTTAATCTCAATTTACTCTTGTGTAAAATGACAAAAGGAATAAGTTGGTTAAAACAATTACATAAATAAAATATTAAAAACAACTTGGCTCAGTGCCTGGCACTCAGGTAAGTACTCTGTGAACGTTAGTTGTTGTGTGTTTTTTTTTCTTATTATTATTTGGAGAAAAACTGGAGGGAAACACACACAAATGCTAACAGCAGTTGTCTCTGAATTGTGGGCTTTTGGCTGATCTTTATTTGCTTCTTCATTATTTGTGCATTTTTTTATAATAAATATTCTAACCAGGATCAAAACGCTGTTTAAGAAATAAATAGCATCCACAAAATAAAACCCAAAAAAAAAACCAAACCCGTTGCAGTTCGATTTCAACTCATAGTGACCCTGTAGGACAGAGTAGAACTGCCCCATAGGGTTTCCAAGGAGCCGCTGGTGGATTCCAACTGTCGACCTTTTGGTTGGCAGCCGAGCTCTAAACCACTGTCCTATGAATTGACTCCATGGCAGTGTTCTTTTTTTTTTTTATTCTTTTTTAAAACAGGGGAGACGGGGCAGAGAGGACTTGGATAACTTGCCTGATTTTGTTCATTAAGAAATCAAACCAGGATAGAGACCCAGCTAGCCTGACTCAAGCCTGTGTTCTTAACCGTCATGCAATTTCAGTTCTCTTCGTGATTTCGTGAGCTGGTTGGTATTATTCCCATTTTACAAGTGAGGAAACGCAGACAGAGAGGCTAAGTGAGCTCCCCACAGTCAAAGAACTGGCCTGTGATGGAAAGGGGCTCTTAATCCACTTCTGTGTGGGAGCAACGCCCCAGCTCTGAGCCACTTCCCATATTCTCTCCTGTAGGACTGTACCACTGGCCCCAACATAAGGGTGAAGGATCCCTGGTGGACAGGACAAGGCTTGCTGTTCCTTCCTCTGGGGTCTTTGGATTCCTGTCTTTGTGACACAGTTAGGAACTCTATGTTTAGAGGTAGCACCCACACAAACACACAGACAAAAGTCACCTCACTTCTTACCTCTTTAATTTGATTTGATGACAAGTCTAATTTTTTTAAAGAAGAATTGCCAAGGAAATCAAGTTCTTCACGTCTTAAGGCATGAATTTTATTATTTGACAGTAAAAGCTCTTGGAGATTTTCCAGCTGGAGTCCAGTTCCTAATTTTGTAGATGATAAACCATTATGAGCTAGATCTAATTTGATTAAGTTCTGAGGGGAAAAAATACATATATAAGTTACAGTTTTGCCATAAAAAATAGTTCCACTAAATACACAAATATCTTAGAAATATCTCAACAGCAAAATACTGCCTCTCTGCTATAATACAGGAAACAACAGCAGGACTAACAATCTTTGTCATGAGAAAAATACCATCTTGGCAAGTATTTAGTTTCTTACTTGAAAAACAAAGCATTTAATCACAGTAAGCATTTGTTTATGATGTAAAGAACATCCATGCGGCTTATCAAATACAGGTCATGCATTGGCCTTGAAACAATAAGAAATAAAGAACAGGAAAAGAAAAAATGTTTTATTGAAAAAGCATGAGTGGAAGCTTTCTCCCTGTGCGCTCCTGAAAAGATTTTTCTGTGGTGAGTCACAGCTATGTACCTTTCAGGTCATGTTACATTTTGTTTGTTTTGTCAGAACTGTGGAATGCAGTGCTGTTACTTTTGAACACACAACTTCAGTCAGGTAAAAGGTAAGGAAAAGCTGATAGCTACTACAGATAAATCTTATGTCATCTCTGTAAAAGAGAATAAGACTTTCATTTATTTGTTAAAAAGGAAAATCACATTTCACTCAGAGAAGTACATCAGGATCTGAGGTCTTTATGTCCAAAGACATGTCGTCAACATGAGAATCTAAGAAGGCGCAAGGAATAGCTTACAAGTGCTAGTGAGCGAAGCTTTTTAATAAATGTTTCGAAGCATTTTTAAATTTGCACATTATCCCTGGTCAGGAATGTTCAATTTTGCAAGGCCATGCAATGAAGAAACACAGAAGCTTGAAAATGGCTTTGGTTTAAGAGAAACACTTAAAATTGCTTTATATTTAGAGATGCTAACATGCATTTTTCACTGATTTAAAATTCAAGTAAAGTGGCTGAAAAGGCAAAGATAGAAGTCATTGGAAAAGCAATATTGCAGGAGGATTTTTTAAACCAGAAGAGCCTGGTGGTGCAGTGGTTAAATTGCTTGACTGCTAACCAAAAGGTCAGTGGTTCGAACCCACCAACCACTCTGTGGGAGTCTGCTTCTATAAAGATTACAGCCTTGGAAACTCTGTAGAGCAGTTCTACTCTGTCCTACAGGGTCAATAGGAGTTGGAATCAGCTCGATGGCAACAGGTTTTTTAAATGAAGAGAAAGTGAGTTTTAGTCAAATAATTTACTTTATCATTGTATCCATTTGCTAACTTTATTTGAAGTCAGTATTTAGAAGCTACTAGGATGTTTGACATTTTTTTCATTACTTCAAGTACCAAATTACCGGCATCGAGAGCTTCTTTTTCATGTCGCTCATAGGATATTCTTATTGTTGGGTGATAATGACCTCTTTCTCTCATGTCTTCTGTTTCTAATGGCAGGAAGCTAGAGTGATGGATTTCTTTAAAACTAAGGTTAAAACTGATTTGGTGAGCAGCTGTGGCTCTTAACCACTTCTCCATCAGGGCTCCTGGTTTCGACTATATTTTCTCTTTTGAAAACATACTTTCAATCACAATAGCATTGTGTGTATGTGTGTGTGTGCATGGCTGCTTCACTGGGGTAGATTAGATTTCTTATTCTTCACCTTGATATTGAGGGATTAAGTCTAAGGATAGATAAGTGACTTGAAAACTACTTAGTACTAGATAACATATCTTTTCTTTGCTAGCGAGGATTAGATTTCTTATTCTTTGTTTTCATATATAGATATCAAGTCCAAGGATAGATAAATGACTTAGAAACTTAACATCTGATAACATTTATTTTTCATTTTGCATATTGAAAAGTACATTTTCACCTTACCTGTAGGTTTTTAAAGGGATTGTTTTGAATTTTCTGTATTGAGTTGGACGTTAAATGGAGTTCCATCAAATTCACGCAGGAAAAAAACGTTTTGTCAGAAAGGTGGGACAGCTCATTGTGTTGGAGGTTCAATACCTTCAACAAGGGGAGTTTCTGGCACAGCTCTGACTCCAGTTTTGAGATGGAGTTAAATCCTCCGTCCAAGACAATAAGTCGGCTGTATCTTGTAAAATTGGCAGGTGGTAATCTTCGGAGTTGATTGTGGGTGAGGTTCAGCACCGTTATGTTTGTGGGGAGGTCATCTGGCACTTGAGTCAATTTCAGATGACTACAGTCAGCTACTTCATGTCTAATGGCACATTTGTTGGCAGAGGACACACACAGCATCCAAAAGGGCAACAGTCCCCAAAAGGAAGCAATTCGGTAAGGCAAACCCTGTCCCATGATTTCACCTGCAAAAGAAACATAAAAAAAGTAACGGACAACAAGTGCTTTCATAATGCACTGCTATATTCCTTGCTGAATATATTAAAAAATATTATCTCTATTTTCCTCATAATTTTATGTTATGAAAATTTATATTATAGAAGTACTTTATCAAGCAGGAATAATTGAAACAGTACAGAAGAGTAAAAATTAAATACAGAAACTCCTTCCTCAGTCTTCACCTCCACCGCTGTTGCAAGGACCCAAAGTAACCTGTCGTGGCAGTTTCTACTTTTCGTTCTCACGGTCAACCCCGTAACCAGAAACAATGCGCCTCTCCTTCGAATTCTTCATTTTCTGACTTTCAGCATTATCTTCCCAGTATAAAGATGAGCAACTTTGTTATACTATTCCCTTGTCCTCGTCTCAACTTTTCCTTTGTTATCTTTAATTTTAATTAATCTGTTGTTAACATCTCAGGAGTCATGGTGGTGCAGCAGTTAAGCACTTGGCTGTTAACTGAAAGGTCATCAGTCTGAACCCACCAGCTGCTCCAACGGAGAAAGATGTGGCATTTTACTTCCATAAAGATTTACAGCTTTGGAAACCCTATGAGGCGGTTCTTCTCTGTCCAAAACGTCCCTATGAGTCAGAATTCAACTTGACGTCAGTGGGTGTTGTTACATCTATAATTTTGAAAACTACACCTGCAGTTCTATTTCTGGATCTACCAACTTTAGACAGAATCTCTTGACTTCTCCCTTTGTGATACCGGAAATGCACACCCCTGCACTTCCCTCCACACTTCATCCCTCCTTACAATGTTCAAAACCTGTCAGCTTTAACATTGCATGACGTTGTCAAAACTTAAAATGCTAGCATTTTATCCAGAGACTAGGATTAAGTCTGACATGCCTGGTCTGTATTCCCTCCATTTGGAAAATCTAAAACCAGTACATAGCGCTTACAGTTCATGACTGAAGGCATACCCACGGCGGAACCATTAACACTCGGCAAAGCGCAGTGATTAAGAGAACGCAGAGCCTGCATTTTGATCCTGGCTCTTCCGCTTTGTAGCCTTTGGAGTTAATTCGTCTCTCAGGCCTCAGACAGCAGTTAAAGTAGCTCCTTCATGGGTTGTTGTGAGGATTGAAGGAGGAAAGCCATGTATGGCCTAACACAACCTGGCCCGAAGCAGTATCAGATGTTAGTACTATTATTAGTAATCAGCACAATAATCCCATGATTTATAAACGTACAATTATAACTATTATCTATTTATGTAAATTTTTTATTTAATAAAGAAAATCTATGCTCCCCCAAAGACCTATTATATCATGAGATTTTACAGCTAATCACTAAACAGGAGGGCAATAGTAGAGGGAGTCAAGAGCATAAAATAACTGGAATTCAAAGAAATTCATGGATGGTTAGAAATTTAAGAAGGGCCTCACTAACTTGATGTTGTGTTAAGTGGGGAGCAGCTGCAAGACAGAGTCTCGGGCTGCCTTCGCTGGCTGGGAGGCAACCAGCATTTTTCCTGAACAGCTACGGAAGATCTTCCTATAAGGTGGCCAGATTCCTTCCAAACGACTCTGCTTCTCAAATCCATTTTCAGAAATACAACAGTAAGTCAAAAAGTATTGCTACAAAATCATAGAAACCTTTATTAGACAAAAATATCAAAATGGGAAGCTACTGTATCTCGACATGTCCTCCGTCTAGGTCTATACATTTCTGAAGGCGGCGTTTCTGTCTCTCCAGCCCTTCCCCAAAGAATTCTGCGCTCTTTGATTTACGCTAGTTTTGGCATCCTCGAGGGACTCAAATCGTATTCCTTTTAAATGTCCTTTGAGTTTTTGGAACAAAAAGAAGTCTGAAGGGGCAAGTTCAGGACTGTAGGGCAGATGGGGTAAGGTTTCCCAGTGAAATTCTCGTAGGACAGCCCTTGCTACCCTCGAAGAATGAGCAGGTGCCTTGTTGTGATGAAAAAAATTCCTTGGTGCAACTTTCCTGATCTTTTTCTCACCAACGCAGTTCTCAATTCTCTTAAAACTTCATAATAAGCCCCTGTGATCGCCATGTGTCCTTTGAGAAAGTGTATCAAGTTTATCCCTTGGGAATTCCAAAACACAGTCTCCATAACCTTCTGAGAGGTCTTCCCTCTCTTGGTTCATCTTTGATGTCTTCCTGACCTTCCTTAAAATGTTCGATCCACCTAAAAATTGTTGTTTTATGTGGGGTAGCATTCCCATAAACTTGTTGCAAAGCTTCAAAGATTTGGGAACATTGCATAAACTACTTTGATTTTTGTGTAATTCTTATAAACATAATTGTATTTGACATTTTAAACTGGTGATGTGAGAAGCTTTAGGTATCAGTCATAGCCTTGCACATAGAGATGAAAAAAGAAGTAAGATTTTAAGTAATGGAAGTTTTACACTAAGTGGAGTTTTTAAGGAATTTATATTCCTCACAAATAAAGGATGAAGTTGAATGCAATAAGGGGAGAAAAAGAAACAACCCTCTGCCTCTAAGTAGGTCACCTTTGAACAATCAAGACAGCATGAATTCCTCTCCCTTATACTAAATGTATAATTCTTCAGAACAATACATTATTTAGTTTTCTGCCAACTTGAACTATGACTTTCTCAAAGTTTGTAATTCCTCCCTTTCGTTCTTATTGAAAGAAGAACTATATATGGCTTCATTTCTGTAACACCAGGCTAGATCATCCAGCTTCTTAGTCATATTCTTTGCTGAATGGCCAGTTTGGATGGATGCTTCCAACACTTGTTAATTGGTTATCATCCACCATGGAATCCATTTCACTGTACTCCTAGATTAATGTCTGTCATGGATCAAATTGTGTCCCCAAAAAATATGTGTATCAATTTGGCTAGGCCATGAGTCCCAGTATTGTGTGATTGTCCACCATTTTCTCATCTGATGTGATTTTCCTATGTGTTATAAATCCTGTCTCTACGGTGTTAATGAGATGGGGTTAGTGGCAGTTATGTTAATGAGTCAGGACTCAATCTACAAGATTAGATTTTGTCTTAAGTCAATATCTTTTGAAATATAAAAGAGAGAAGCAAGTAGAGAGACAGAGGACCTCATACCATCAAGAAACAAGAGCCAGGAGAATAGCACATCCTTTGGACCCAGGGTCCCTCGACTGGGGAAGATTGATGGCAAAGACCTTCCCCCAGAGCCAACAGAGAGAGAAAGCCTTCCCCTGGAGATGACACCCTAAATTTGAACTTCTAGCCTCCTAGACTGTTACAGAATAAATTTCTCTTTGTTAAAGCCATCCACTTGTGGTATTTCTGTTATATCAGCACTAGATAACTTAAGACAATGTCAGTGTTTTATGGATTTCAGTACCTTCTTCCTTGAAATATTTCTATTTTGCCTACAGTATCTCCTTGAGTAATTTTTTATTTAAAAAAAAAATGGTACGTGAGATTATCTTTCTAAGTCCCTGTATATTGGTCTTTTTCTTTAATATCATCACGTGGTTTCGGTGTATAGGTAGTTTGAGATTCAAAATAATTTGTATAGAAAACTCTTGAAAACAGTATTCTATTGTCTTTTAGTCTCCAGTGTTGCTGAAAAGAAGTCTGATGTCCATCTGATGTCCCTTTCTTTATAAACAACCTTCTTTTTATTTTTAAAAGCTTTCAGTATCTTTTCTTTATCTTTAGTAATGTAATATTTCACATGGATATTTCAAGTTTTTCCTTTCCTTTAAAGCTTTATATTCTACGGTGTTTTCAGTCTGAAAGTTTATGTTCTCCTTAAATTTTTAGAATTTCTTTTTCTATTACTTGGAGCTCCAGGGGCACGGTGGTTAGGAACTCAGCTGCTAACCAAAAGGTTGACTATTTGAATCCACAAGCCACTCCTTGGAAATCCTATGGGGCAATTCTGCTCTGTCCTATAGGGTCGCTATGAGTCCGCATCAACTCGATGGCAATGGGTATTATTATTTGGATCATTTACTTTCCTTGTTTTCCAGTGTTCTCTCCTCTGGAACCACTTTTAGGTAGACACTGGCCTTCCTGTGTGATGCTCTCTGTATCTAAAGTTCCTTTTGTGTTTTCCATCTTTCTATCCTATGTTCTTTTTATTCGATGTTCCTAGACATAACCTGGAATCCCTGGGTGGAGCAAACGGTTAACGCACTGTGCCACTAACTGAGAAGTTGGAAGTTTGAGTCTACCCAGGGGTGCCTCAGAAGAAAGGCCTAGAGATCTACTTCTGAAAAATTAGCAGTTGAAAACCTTGCAGAGCACAGTTCTGCTCTGACACAAATGGGGTCACCATGAGTCCAGGCTGACTCAATGGCAATTGGTTTGGTTTAGATATAACCTAAGCTTTTTGTAAATATATGTTTAATTTTAGCAATTATAGTTTAAATACATACTGAACACTGCACATATCATGAATGTGAAGCTTGTAGAATTTCCACAAAGTGAATATACTAGTGAAGTCACACCCAGATCAAGAAATAAAGCACCTTGAGCAACCCAGATAATTCCCTCATACCCACTTCCAGTCATGTCCTCCTCTTCCCTAAAGACAAGCATTTCTTGATTTCTTACATGAATGGTTAATTTCACTTTGTATTATAAATTAATAAATTAATACACTATGTATAATTTTGTGTCTATCTTTTTTTGGGTCCACAATAGGTTTTATCCACTTCTTGTCATACAGCAGCATCTGTTCATTTTCATTGCTGTAGAATAATCCAGTGTATAAATAGATCATGGTTAATTTTCTCCAACTTTTTTAACAAAAAAAAAAGTTTAACATATGGCAAGGATAAATCAAAGAATTTTACAGTGTACTGACTTGAGTTAGCATATAGCTATCCATTTATCCATCCTCTGCGCATCATAATAAGCTCACTGAAGTGTGCTGTAAATACCAGTAGCCTTCCCTCTAGATTTTTTCAGCAGGCACGTTGTTATCTACAGTTCATCATTTGTTTCTAGATTTTTTTTTTATGTGAAATTTACATATAATGAAATGCACAAATCTTAAGTGTCCTTTCTCTGAGTTTTAACAAATGCATACGACTATGTAACCCAAAGTGCAAAGAGTTTTCCCATCTCCTTCCCAGCTAATTGAAACCTTACCTCCCAGAGGCATCCACTGCTCTGACTTTTTTCCACTACAGGTTAGTTTCATGTGATTTATACACATATAAATGGAATCGCAGAGTATTGACTCTGTTATATAAG